TTTTATCTCTTTTTATTTTCAACACACGTGCTGAAAGTAGATACTTTCAGCCCACGAATTGAAAGTAAATTGTCAATGTCAATTACAAATAATGTCAACAGTATTTTCCACACGTGTGCTGAAAGTACTTTTAGCACTCAATATAGGTAGGAAACGCAGCCTAAAAGGGTGTTGTCGGTCGGAAATCGAGATATATTTCCTTACATTTTTAAAAATCGGGACATTTGGTATTCAATTCGTGAATTCGTGATTCGGTTCGGAAATATCTCTAAAAATCGGGACGTCTGGCAACCCTGGCCTCTACCTACTTTCGTGAAAGTGGTTTTTCAACTCTTTTTAACAAAAACTCAAGAACCCCAAGAATTTCAAAACGGAGATGCAAGCTTAGTCATCACATTAACAAAATAAAAATTGACTTTTTGTAATTAGTTACGAAATATTAATATTTTAATAGAGATTTTTTGTTTTTTATTTATTGAGAGGTCGCGACATTATGAGCAAATCTGTAAAAGGGTCGTGACTAAAAAACGGTTGGGAACCACTGGTTTAGAGCATTTATAGATTTTGGTAGTGAATGATTATTTAGAAAATATTAGTCACGATCCAAGCTAAAGGACCTTCTTCTATCTCACGAGCAATGCATGTTTGAATCATTCCACAAACTAGGAAAGGCTCATAATGTTTCACTCTTAATCGAACTAACAAAACTAATAAAGCAATAACTCATAGAGCCTATCGTACGCCAGAAAAAGATAAAGTAACGTTTAGGGCAATTATAAATGATTTGTTGAAGGCTAATATAATAAGGGAAAGTAAATCCCCTTACGCAAGTGCAGCTTTTCTTGTAGACAAAAAAGACAACGAAAAAAGGCTAGTAGTAGACTATAAAGCTCTAAATAAAATTACTGTTAAAACTAAATTTCCAATGCCTGTTATCGAAGAAATAATAGACAACTTATCTGATTTTAAATATTTCAGTAGCATTGATTTAGCCTCAGGGTACCATCAAATTCCGTTGGAAGAAAAATCGATCCCTTATACCGCGTTTGTGACATCAGAGGGACATTACGTATATTGTTCTGTATTGTGTGGCAACTCTGCTATAGAGTCCCAGCCCAGTCGGTACGGTTACAGGGAGCTTGGAGTCCCCTCCCTGTTTTGATGACTTGACATTCGACAGATTAAAAGGACTTCTTCTCTCTTCTTCATTATGATTGTCAATCAAAAAATCAATAAAAAAATAATCGTTTGTAATCAGTGGCGGCTCGTCAGAGGAGGCTAAACCTCCCCCAAAAAATTGGGTAAATTCAATTTCAATTTTTTATTCTAATTAAAATAATAATTACACAACATAATTCCAATTTTCGATATTCCAATGTAATTTAGAAAAATCTGACAGAATTATTTCAATCAATCCCATGCCCTCATGACAAATATCTGTGAATCTGGGATACTCAGTAATACCGGCCCGAAGGGCCGGAGTTATATGCGAGCCCGAAGGGCCGGAGTTATACGCGAATCCGGCCCGAAGGGCCGGAGTTATATGCGAACCCGGCCCGAAGGGCCGGAGTTATATGGGAACCCGGCCCGAAGGGCCGGAGTTATATGGGAACCCGGCCCGAAGGGCCGGAGTTATATGGGAACCCGGCCCGAAGGGCCGGAGTTATACACGAGCTCGAAGGGCCAGAGTTATACGCAAGTCCGAAAGGCTAGAGTTATTTTAATCACGGGACTCAGTCTATAATTCTATTGGTCAGTGAATAATTTAGAACCAATCAAAAACCGAGAATATTTAAAATGCGATTTTTAGCGTCCGATCAAAGAGCCGGGAATATTCAAAAACTTTAGTTTTATCAAATTGACTTTGGAATGTTGGTTTTCCTGAGATTTTTATTTTTTTCAGAAAACGGTGATTTTCGCAAACATATACTACTTTATCGTTGTCTTTGTCTTACTCACTATAATCAATAAGGAAACCTTGTAATGTCATTTTCATCGAAATTAAACTAAAAACAAGTTTTCTATGATTTATTTGGGGAATTTTAATTATTATAATCATTATTAATTAATTATTAAATTGAATTTTAAACAAAAAACCCTTTTAAAATGTTATTTTTGTTTTCCGAAATGAGATGTGGCAACGTTGCTTTTAGTTGGCCATTTTGAAGTGACGCCTTGTAATTTTTTGCCAGTTTTTCCTCGAATTTTTCACTTTTCCGGGGCTTTTCAATGGAAAAAGGCAATTTAAGATACGAGGCTTTGAGTTTTCTCAATTTTCAAAGCAAAAATGTTCAGTTTTAAAATGACATAAATAACAAAATCCCATTTAAAATGGTTTTTTTAAAAGTTTTGATGTGGCAACACCGTTTGTACCAACTTCAAATAGGTTCTGTAATAAATGTCATTTGACAGTCGGCAATTTTTAATTGACGTGTTCATATTTCTATCCAGTTTTTCCTCGAATTTTCCGCTTTTCCAGGCCGTTTTCAGTCAAGAAAACCAATTAGAAATACGAGGCTTTGAATTTCCTACATTTTGTGCTAAAAATTCCCAGTTTTCCAATGGGGTAAGTGACAAAAACTCAAATTTCATTAAGTAGGCTTTGGAATGTCATTTTTAGAGTTTTTTCTTTAGATTTGTCCGCTTTTCCAGGGCTTTTGTGGTCGGAAAAAACCGATTTAAAGTACGAGGCTTTAAGTTTTATTCATTTTTTAGTAAAAATTTCTAGTTTTAAATGCCATAATTAGCAAAATCCCATTTAAAATGCTTTTGATGTGGCAACATCGCTTGTGGCTGTCGGCCATTTTCAATTGACGTGTTTACATTTTTATTCAGTTTTTCTTCGAATTTCCACTTTTCCGGGGCTTTTTCAGTCGAGAAAACTGATTTAAAGTACGAGGCTTTGAATTTTCTTCATTTTCCACCAAAAATTTCCAGTGTTTTAACGGGGTAAGTGAGAAAAACTTTAGTTTTATCAAGTAGGTTTTGGAATGTCATTTTCGTTGGTTTTTTTTTTGGAATTTTTATTTAAAGTTTTTGGGGTCCGGGGAACGTTTTCTACCACTTTTTTTCTCAAAATTCGCAAAATATGACGTTGACAGCTGTCAATTTTTTTTTACACAAATCGATAGTTGGCGTCGCGAAACTGCCTTTTACCGGGGTTTGATTTTTGTAGTTTTTATAATAGAGCGGGAAAAAAGTCGAACATGTGTCAAATTTGACAGGTGACATCTGTCGATATTGATGACAAAAGTTTTATCCGAACGAATCCGTTCATTGTCAACTGATTTCAATACTCCGGCCCTTCGGGCCGTAATCTTTGAAACAAAAAGACGTTATTTTGTATCAATTGTCAAAAAACCCCAAGGTTTGAAATTTCAATTTTTTGACGTTTGTTGTATCATGAGCAGTGTTGCCATATGTTTTTTTTTTTTCAAATCTAGAAATAGAATATTATGATAAATTCCCTTCCCCCGAAGCAAAAAGTTTCTCATGAGGGGCGGCAAAACAAGCTCTTGCACGAGGGCGGCCAAAGAGCTAGAACCGGCCCTGACATTGGAGAAAACTAAAACTCGGAATATCAACTATAAATCACATTTTGAATATTCCCGATTTTTGATTGCCTCCAAATTATTCACCCAAATTATCCACTGACCAATAGAATTATAGACTGTGCCCCGTAATTAAAATAACTTTAGCCCTTCGAGCCCGCGTATAACTCCGGCCCTTCGGGCTCGTGTATAACTCCGGCCCTTCGGGCCGGGTTCGCATATAACTCCGGCCCTTCGGGCCGGGTTCGCGTATAACTCCGGCCCTTCGGGCTCGCATATAACTCCGGCCCTTCGGGCCGGAATTACTGAGTATCCCAGATTCACAGATATTTGTCGTGAGGGCACGGGATTGATTGAAATAATGTTGTCAGATTTTTCTAAATTACATTGAAATATCGAAAATTGGAATTTTGTTGTGTAATTTGTGAATTATTAATTTAATTAGAAATGAGGAGTAAAAAACTGAGATTGAATTTTCAAGTTTTTGAGAGAGGCTTAGCTTCCTCTGACGAGCCGCCACTGTAAAAATTTGTATACAAGTTGGTCAAAATCCCAGAAAAACTTGTAAGATCTACTCAAAATCACTGAAAATCTTTTAGCCTCCTCACTTGAAATAGTCACGAGCCGCCACTGTTTGTAATCGTTTAATCATTAATCATTTGTACTTGCAAAAATTACAAAAAATAAAAAACAAAAGCGTTTTTATTCTAGTAAAAAATGGAGCATCGCACATATATTATGTTTTAATGTTTAGCTTATCAAAATAATAATGGAATATAGAGTATAGGATTTCAGATACACAGTGCCTGTGATAAAAATTAGGATACAGAAAACTTGACACCCTTGCTTATCTTTGTATAGAGAAAAAGACTAAGTGTTTAGGTAGGTAGTGGAAATACTTAATTGTGGCTGTTGTTTGACGACAGAAAGAAGAAATCGAATTTTGGTATTTAATTTCATGTATCGTTATTTAGTTAAGTTTGTTCCATTAAAACAAGTTTTTTGTAAGATTTTTTTCGGCACTGTAATCATTATCAACATAACATTAACTGTTTCAAAAAATGTATAATAAAGTAGCAAACAAAGCTTTAATAAAATAGCAATAAAGCTATTTTTTAAGTACTATAACCTAGCTAAACTTATGTAAAAAATAATATTACGTTCTTCCGAAACTATATACAAAATATATAAAAAAGAAAATACAAACGAAAAATGTATAAAATAATTTTTTTTTTCATTTAGCCTGCATCTTAGGGATGGAAATAAAGTATTTTCTTGTCTATACCCACAATCAAATAATCTAAGATACTTTAAAGGGAAATATAAACTTTGTCTAGATGCAAACTTTTTTTTGCAAAAATAATATCATAAAAATATATGTAAATATCAAAATAAGGCAATTATATCACCTCATTATTGTCAAATATTAATTATCGCACGCGCCTAACTCTACAGGGGCGAATAAAAATGTTGATACATCGGTACAGCATTGGCACAAGCCGAACCGGTACTAGTGGCCGCTGAAAGCACATAAGCTATTTTAGCCGTAGCCGCTTGCTCTTGGAAAGCATCGCCGTAGCTCCTTTTCATGGCCGCATGAGGTACCATCGGTAACAAACCCGGTGTCGGAGGAAACTGTGCACCAAGCAGACCAAAATTAGGCCCACAATTTCCAGAAAAATACACGGGAAGGCAAGGCAACAAAGCGACATAAGGATTCTGAACAGGCGTCATGTGAATAAATTGTTGCATTTTGGCGGCGTTTCCAGGAAACAACGGCGACGGTAGCATGGCTAAATTACCTTGCGAGTGAGCGATTTGATTCATGAGCAACATTTCGCTTTGAGCGTGCGCTTGCGTTTGAGGCGCAATTAAATTTTGCTGCGCTTGCAATAGAGCGGGGTCCCAAAGGGTCGATTGGGTCGCGGGAGGGGGACTATGAGTGGGCGCTGGTGCTGTTGCTTTGGCCGGCGACGTTGGAGCTGGTAAACCTAATTATCGTGAAAAACGATTTTAAAAAATCGATTGATTGAGTTGTTGCTTACAAAACTTACCTTCAGTAAGCGCCAGGTTCATATCTTCTCCGGAACATTGAAACACTTCAATGTAACGTTGCTTCTTTCCGAAGATCATGTACCTGTAGTGCTTCTGTTCAGCTGTGACGAATGCCGACTGTTCAGAATCCATTCGTATGAAAGCTTCACCACTAGGCTGACCCTAGAAATTTAAAATCAATGAGTATTTTTATAATAATCATATCGGCAAATTGAATAGCCGATGTCAAATCAATATTTTGGTGCAATTGAATATGAATCAATATTGATTTTTGATCATGTTATAAACCTTTCTGGTGCAATTCAGCAATAAACGGATACAAATTGCAGCAAAGACAGACTTAAACCAGTGCAACTACCTCTCGTTGGGAAAGCCCCTCTGGATAAGGGTGTAGCTACAAGCAGTGTAGACGTGTGGCCCCCTATAAGGGCCCCAGTGTTCGAAGAGTCATGCATCTTATAGGACTAGCGTACATGTAAGATAAGGGCATATTTGGGAAAATATATATCTACACTTTTATATAACTTGAGTTTCTCTCCATCGATCCTCAAAGCTACAAACCCCCGTAAAGCGAGCAGTTGTGACAGTATTGAGTAGAAGAAGCTTTACTTTTTTGTGCTGAAGTTGGAAAAACTTGTTAACGATCTTTTGGACAAAGATAAAGATACACGCCAAAACATACGTGTGACTATAAAATCGGATCGCATACCTAAATTTACACCTGGCAAAAATAGGATTAGATAAAAATAGATCAATTAGGCTCTCCAAACCATGTGATTTTTCAATATTTGACGTTTGTTTGTTTATCTTAAGTTTATTTGGAATATTTTCAAGCTAATTACAGTTTACTTTGTTATAATATACTTTTTTGAGATGCAGAGTGAATATTTAAAAACTTGAATGCAGGAAAATCAGGATCTGGACGAACGGTTAGTTTAAAAAAATGTCCAGACGACATTTTGATCCACAGTTCAAATTAATGAGCAAATGAAGGCCTACAAAAGCTTAGATTCTTACAAATATTTCGAAAATGGCTTTATTTCAGATGCAGGAACAGTGGTAGTGAAAAAATTTCACGTTTCAATTGGAAAATTTTAAAACAAAAGGCAATGAAAAAAGCCTTGTTACCTTGTTGAAACTACTTCCACAATCAACTTCAAGACCCGTTTGTGGCATTTTTAATTGGAAGAGAAACACTAATGAAGTCAATAAAATAAAACAGAGTTCATTCACAAAACCACCACAAAATGCACTTTAAAAAGCTTTAAATTACATACTCTCATATGCGGGATAATGAACTTCTGCCACAACGCACTTTTTGACAGGTCGTTGGAATGCCTAATAGACCGATCTCCTCAGTGGCGGCTCGTCAAAGGAGGCAGGGGAGGCTAAACCTCCCCCAAAAAATTGAAAATTCAATCTCAATTTTTTGATTCCTGATTCATAATTAAAATAATAATTAACAAATTACACTTTCCAATTTTCGATCCGAAGGGCCGGAGTTATACACGAATCCGGCCCGAAGGGCCGGAGTTATATGCGAACCCGGCCCGAAGGGCCGGAGTTATACACGAGCCCGAAGGGCCAGAGTTATTTTAATCACGGGACTCAGTCTATAATTCTATTGGTCAATGAATAATTTAGAACCAATCAAAAACCGAGAATATTTAAAATGCGATTTTTAGCGTTCGATCAAAGAGTCGGAAATATTCAAAAACTTTAGTTTTATCAAATTGGCTTTGGAATTATGGGGCGCCATATGTTCCATAATTATTTCGTCTTATATGTAAAATATTTTGCAGGAAAAACAATATATAGATAAAAATGACCACTATTTTGCATATATTTAAAATAAAAAATAATATTTATATCGAATTTAGCAGCATGCAAAGTTCGATATATATAAAATAACTTTGAAAAAATAAATATATTGAATTTTGCCCCATGCAAAATTCAATATTTATAAAATTTAAAAAAATATTATATACAGGGTGTCCCAAAAAGATACCGACAAACTTTAAGGGGTAGTAGGGGACATCAAAACAAACATTTTTGTTTATATAAACATATGTCCGCAAATAAGCCATTTGAGCTGTAGAGCAAAAAAACTTTTTGGTACTTTTATTTTTCGCAATAATTAAATCACTGTTTACCAGTGGCGGCTCGTGACTATTTCAAGTGAGGAGGCTAATTACAGTATAGGATTTCATGAAGGAATTCCATATTTTGTTTTTTTAACTTTACTAAAATTCCTTAAAATTTTACCACTGAAATATCTTGGAATTCCACAAAATTTTCATAAAATCTTTCGGAATTTCACTGACATTTACTGTAATTTCTTAGAAATTCTATACTTTTATGAGAATTTTGTGAAATTTCACTAAAATTCCATGTTATTAGTCGAATATTTCTCGAAATTCCAATAAAACTTCAATTTTTTTTTTCAAAATTTCATTTATTTCCATAAGAATTTTTAGGAATTTCGCTAAAATTCCCTTAATAGTCAGGAATTTCTGGGAATATTAACAAGTAATTTCTTGAAAATTCACTGAAATATATTGAAATTTCATATCATTACATGAGAATTTTTCCAAATTTCACCGAAATTCCAAGTTTTTAGCCAAAAACTCCTTGGAATTTCATTTGTGAAATTTTCTCTAATTTTACTAAAATTCAGTAAATTTTGATGGGAATTTTTCAGAATTTCAATTTCACTAAAATGCCATGTTTTTAACTGGGAATTCCTTGGAATAAAAATAAAAATTTGTTTTTATATTAGGATTTTTCGGAATTTCACTGGAATTCCTTATGAAACGATAAGAGTTGTTCAAAATTCCACTTAAATTTTATGTAATTCCCTGACAATTCCTCCATTTAATTCGACGAAAATTCTTCGTATTTCATGTAAATTTTTGAAACTTTTTAAAAATTCTTATGTAATTTAACGAGCACTGAAATTTCATGTTGGGAATTTCGGTGTAATTCCATGTTTTTTTTTTAGAATTCCTCCATGCAACTCATTCAAGATTTCATGTAATTTCTCTAAATTTTATATTTCATGTAATTCGAGAGAAACTAAAATTTAATGTGAATTTTATAGAAACTCCACAAAAATTGCACTTGTCACATTTTATACCATAAAATTCAATGGAATTCTTTGAATGTTTTTTTTTTTTCGGAATTACAATATACGATTTTCGAGGCATTATTCACTAAAGGAAAAATATGACAAGATTTCGGATTTAGAGCGATTTTGAAGAATTTCGGGTGATTTCGGTAGAATTTCGGTAGGATTTTGGGAAGATTTTGAGGGATTATTCACTGTGACAAGATTTCAGAATTAGAATGATTTTAAGATATTTCGATCAATTTCGAAGAATTTCGGATGATTTCGGAGAATTTCAGGTGATTTCGCAAATATTTTAATTCAATGAAAAACGGCCGAGTTGAACGATTTATGAATTTTGGGCCAATTGCGAGGGATTTTTGGGTTTACGGAAAGATTTCGGAGTGATTTTGTGGATTTTGGACGAATTTGTGACATGATTTCGGGGAATGATTAACCCCTTGAAGATTTTATGAAATTTCTCGGAATTCCACTAAGATTTTAATTTCAAAATTCCATATATTTTTTTTAACTTTACTGAAATTCTTCAAAATTTTATTACTGAAATATCTTGGAATTCCACAAAATTTTCATAAAATTCTTCGGAATTTCATTGACATTTCATATAATTTCTTAAATATTTCTCGGAATTTACTAAAAATTTGTGAGAATATTTTGAAATTCTACGTTTATAGCCGAAAAGTTCTCGAAAGTCCAATGAAACTTCAAGGAATTTTTTAAAATTTAATTTATTTTCATAAGAATTTCACTGAAATTCTCTTTTAATAGCCAGGAATTTCTGGGAATATTAATGAAACTTCAAATAATTTCTTGAAAATTCACCGAAATATATTGAAATTTCATGTTATTACATGGGAATTTTTTGGAATATCACCGAAATTCCATGTTTTTAGCTGGAAATGCCGAGGAATCCATTCGTGGGATTTTCTGAAATTTTAGTAAAATGAAGTAAGAACTGAAATTTCATGTTGAGAATAATCTATAAATTAAAGTGAATTCTATGGAAACTTCGCAAAAATTTCACATGTAATTCCTTTTTCAGAATAACTTAAATCATTCTACCGAAATTCTTCGAAATTCCACTAAATTATGGAATTCTGAGAGACTTTGGGAATTTCAAAGGAAATATTTTTTAGGAATACTAATAATTTTATGAGATTTTGTAGGATTTTTTTGGTTTTAATGAAATTTTGTTAGATTTTGTAGTGTAGGATTTTATGCAATTTCAAAAGATTTTGTGGAATTTTATTTAATTTTCAAGGATTTCAAATTCATTTTAGGAATTTTGAGTAGATTTTATGAGATTTTCTGGGATTTCAACTAACTTGTATATGGCTTTTGACCAGTTGACAACCCCTCGGGTTACCCATTTAGATTTGTATTTCAAAATATTTGATTTTTGATATTTTAAAATCTATTGGAGATTTTGAATTAAAATTTTCAGGAAATGTAACTCTTGACAAGGGCTTTAAAATGGTATTTAGTTAAAATCGCTATGGTTTTCAAGAAAATCGAGTTTGAAATTTTTAATAAAATTTGGACTAAAAGTTAACTTTGAGATCCAATTGCCCATAAAGTATTTGAGTTATGAGAACCAATTTAGCATGGATTTATAGAGAATTTAATGCTCTTTCCAACCATATATAATTTGTTTTGATGTGTTCAAATTTCTTTTAAGATACTGGGCATTATTCCTAATCTTGTCAAGATTTGAAAAAATTTCCAGAACGCTTTTAGCTTTTTGAAATCGCCATTTTGGAAGTGATGTTAGAATTTTTTTCGACTATTCAAACCCGCTGAATCAATTAGAAAAAATTTAAAATAAAAATTTCGAGTTTCCGATTGGTTTGACTGAAACCCCCCATAAGCAACGCCACTGGCCAAACAAAATACATGTTGCCAACTTGAAAAATAACCGGCCAATAGCAACAAGAGCCTGGAATAAACAGAAATTAAAATATAAAAAGAGAAACAATATATAAATATATCAAAAGAACAAATACAAATTTATATAAAAATCAAAGGACCTCACACACCACTTATGGGTATTTGGTTTACTGTCAAACTAATAAAATTTGTATGTTGAAGTAAAATTTCAATACATTACGAGGGATGTTTATAAAGTGCATCTTTAGGGGTTTAACCCTTTGAAAAAATATTCCAAATTAATGAAATTTCAAAATCACCAGAAATTGCCATTTTTCAAAAAGTCTTTCACCAATCACCAGATTATTCATAAAATCACCAGATCTGGTGAAATTTCACCAGACTTGGCATCACTGTATCAATCAAAAGTAGAACTTTTAACAGTGTCAACCGCCTATCAACCAACATGTTAGAACATACACTGCCCTCTAGCGCCGATCCAAAGAATTAATAATAAATTGCACGAAAATATCCGACCTTTAACGAAGCAGTAACAGTAACAGTAAGAAATCAAAATAACCATTTCTTAAGTTTTAAGTTTTACTGATAAGTTTGTTAAGTGAACTATAAGTGACTTTACGGTTGGCCGTGTTTTGATATTTTACTGTTACTGATACTGACACTATAAATCCAGCTATATAGGCTGAAGGACCTCGGTCAATGGCTTTTTGAACTGTATCGTTCAATAAAGATCCATTATACCGGGTGACAACGAAATCGTTATATTGAGACGTACACTTTTCATAAAAAAACAATTGAATATAACTTCCGGTTACTTTGAAAAATGGACCCAAGTCAAGAAATTTTTATGGAACCCTGTATATTTTTTTTACACAGTTGGATAGAGCTTAAAATTCCTTTTTCAATGACATATGATAAGTGGAATTCGCTTTTAAGATGGCGGCGTGAGAAGGCACTTTTTTAAATTCAATATGGCGGCATTCTGACCTAACCTTTGAATACCTAACCGAAAAATGAATATGCATTTTGGTAGACATTTTTTCGGTAGGCCATTGGATACACTTTAATTCTAGAATTTAATAAGTACTTACCTCTTCCTATTCAAAACTTTTAGAAAATTTTAAACTAAAATTTGCATTTCAAAGAAATTTGTTGTTTTTGAGCAAAATCATTTTTTTTTTTTCAAATTAGATCTAGAACCATTTCAAATCTAAAAATAATGGATTGCTAAAAGTGTTTGTTTGACAGAAACATTATCGGTTACGTCAGAATGCCGCCATATTGAATTTAAGAAAAATACCTTCTTACGCCGCCATCTTGGAAACAAATGCAAGTTGTCATATGTCATTGGAAAGGGAATTTCAAGTTCTATCCAACTGTGCAAAAAAATATACAGGGTTCCATAAAAATTTCTTGACTTGGGTCCATTTCCGGAGTAACCGGAAGTGATATTCAATTGTTTTTTTTTTACGAAAAATGTGCGTCTCAATGACTTACCCGTTCCACCCAATTTTCAAATTTTTAACTTTAAAGACAACTGAATGACGCCTTGTATAACGATTTCGTTGTCACCCGGTATATATATATATATATATATATATATGAAAAGTTAATAAAAAAAAAGGTGATTTTAATTCTGCTGAATTATTTGTTAGAAAGCAAAGTATCTGTCAATGGAAAAGCTTTTTCAAGGAACTTTTTGTTTGTCGGTTTCACCACCTACTTTTGCAAAAATACACCAAATAACATTACCTGTGCGTTATTAACCATATGCACGCCCTGGTACATAATGTTCTTTGCGTATTCACCCAGAAAGTCCAGAATATGTTGCATTTGGGATTCATAAGGCAGTCCCCGTAACCTGACACAATCCTTCCTTGTCCCTGATGTGATTACATCCTGAGGCAGTAAAGAATAGTTGGGCATCGGCATAGGTGGCAACTGGGGCGTTGGTCGTGGTTCCATCATCATGGATCGGTTAAGAACCTACAATAATTACGTTGCAATTATAGAGAGGTTTATATTCATGTTTCAGAATAGTGACATACCTGTAGAACTTCTGCAGTCGTTGACCTGTACAACTCGATGTACCTAGAACCGATATTTTGCCGATGTTTCGCCAGAGCTTTTGGGGCGTCTGATATGTCAGCAAACAAAACGAAAGCGTCACCGGTAGCTCGTCCGTCGGGCTTCTTGACGAACAACACTCCGTCCAAACCGTCCAAGACTGTGCAGGCATTTTCACCAGAGGAGAAAAAGTCGAGCTAATAAAAATAATTGGTTTTTTTTTTCTCGAATTAATAAAGATAAAATCGAAAAAAAATTTACAAGTTTGGTCAATTTATTCAGATTCTAATTACTGTGAGAAGATTTACAGTAAATTATCTATTAGAGACTCTATTACTTGTCAAGTTCAAGGTACACAGGTGAAAGATGAGAACCCAAAGGACATTTTAAAAGAAATAAGTAATGATTCAGTGGCGGCTCGTCAGAGGAGGCAGAGGAGGCTAAACCTCCCTCAAAAAATTGGGTAAATTCAATTTCAATTTTTTATTCTAATTAAAATAATAATTACACAACAGAATTCCAATGTAATTTTAAAAAATCTGCCAGAATTATTTCAATCAATCCCATGCCCTCATGACAAAAATCTATGAATCTGGGATACTCAGTAATTCCGGCCCGAAGGGCCGGAGTTATATGCGAGCCCGAAGGGCCGGAGTTATACGCGAATCCGGCCCGAAGGGCCGGAGTTATACGCGAATCCGGCCCGAAGGGCCGGAGTTATACGCGAATCCGGCCCGAAGGGCCGGAGTTATACGCGAATCCGGCCCGAAGGGCCGGAGTTATACGCGAATCCGGCCCGAAGGGCCGGAGTTATACGCGAATCCGGCCCGAAGGGCCGGAGTTATACGCGAATCCGGCCCGAAGGGCCGGAGTTATACGCGAATCCGGCCCGAAGGGCCGGAGTTATACGCGAATCCGGCCCGAAGGGCCGGAGTTATACGCGAATCCGGCCCGAAGGGCCGGAGTTATATGCGAACCCGGCCCGAAGGGCCGGAGTTATACGCGAGTCCGAAGGGCTAGAGTTATTTTAATCATGGGACTCAGTCTATACCTAATTCTATTGGTCAGTGAATAATTTAGAACCAATCAAAAACCGAGAATATTTAAAATGCGATTTTTAGCGTTCGATCAAAGAGTCGGAAATATTCAAAAACTTTAGTTTTATCAAATTCCCAAGTAGCACTCCCATGTTGGGCCAATATTGGGACAATAACTACGATTTATTGGCCCAAGTCAGATTCTCTATGTTGGCCCAATAAAAGATGTGGACATTCTGCTATATTTGTCCAAGAACGTATGTCAATATATACCCAAAAACAAATACCAACGTTGGTACAATAACGTAACCAAATGTTGGCCCAAAAAGAAATAATCAATATCATATCAAGAACTTTATGCAATATAGAGCCAATTGAAATTACCAATATTGGCCCGGAGACGTATGTAAATCTTGGCTTTATATTATATTTAATTAAGGTAACGAACCAATTATAAGGACCGACTAAGAAGTGTTTTCTCTTTGCCCGACCATCCGTGGACCCGTTTCGCTGTATCACAAGTCATCAGCATGGTTAAGTCCCGCCAGGGTCCCGCAGAGAGAAAACAACCAATTTTTGGCTTCATCCTGGAACCAGGTTTAAGACAGGTAAAGTGAAGACAGAGTCTCCATCTATTTTTTGGTCGGCACACCAAGTGCGCACATTGAATACCCTATATTGGACCAACATTTTCAATTCAGAAAATCTAACCTTGGTAAAAATTAGTATGTAAATATTGGCCCTTCATTGGGCTTTTCAAAAAGTAACAATATTGCGAAAAAATTGGAAATAAATATTGGGTGTACAAAGTTTTTGAAGTGAATTTAAATATCAATAAAAAATTGAATGCCAATATTGAATTAATATTATATTACAATATTGTTTCGATAATATAAAATGTAATATTTGGCCAATATTTCATAAATCAATATTGTAGTGAGAAGTCTTGGGCCAATATTCAAATTACTGAAGAGTTAATTAATCTATGAAAACAATATTGGTACAAGATTATTTTTAAATATTGTTTCCACATAGTTAAAACTAACGTTGCCCCAATGTTGGTACTGTGTTGATTTATCAACAAAAATGAATAAATATTGGCCCAACTGAAAAACGATGTTTACCCCATATTATGTGCTACTTGGGTTGGCTTTGGAATTTTGGTTTTCTTAAGATTTTTACTTTTTTCAGAAAACGGTGGTTTTTGCAAACATATACTACTTTATCGTTGTCTTTGTCTTACTCACTATAATCAATAAGGAAACCTTGTAATGTCATTTTCATTAAAATTAAACTAAAAACAAGTTTTCTATGATTTATTTGGGGAATTTTAATTATTATAATCATTATTAATTAATTATTAAATTGAATTTTAAACAAAAAACCCTTTTAAAAAGTTATTTTTGTTTTCCGAAATGAGATGTGGCAACGTTGCTTTTAGTTGGCCATTTTGAAGTGACGCCTTGTAATTTTTTGCCAGTTTTTCCTCGATTTTTTCACTTTTCCGGGGCTTTTCAATGGAAAAGGCAATTTCACATACGAGGCTTTGAGTTTTCTTCATTTTCTAGCAAAAATGTCCAGTTTTAAAATAACATAAATAACAAAATCCCATTTAAAATGGTTTTTTTTTAAAGTTTTGATGTGGCAACACCGTTTGTACCAACTTCAAATAGGTTTTTTAATAAATGTCATTTGCCAGTTTTGACAGTTGACAATTTTTAATTCACGTGTTCACATTTCTATTCAGTTTTTCCTCGAATTTTCCGCTTTTCCAGGCCGTTTTCAGTCAAGAAAACCAATTTGAAATACGAGGCTTTGAATTTCCTACATTTTGTGCTAAAAATTCCCAGTTTTCCAATGGGGTAAGTGACAAAAACTCAAATTTCATTAAGTATGCTTTGGAATGTCATTTTTAGAGGTTTTTCTTTGAATTTGTCCGCTTTTCCAGGGCTTTTCTGGTCGGAAAACCCGATTTAAAGTACGAGACTTTGAGTTTTCTTCATTTTCCACCAAAAATTTCCAGTGTTTTAACGGGGTAAGTGAGAAAAACTTTAGTTTTATCAAGTAGGTTTTGGAATGTCATTTTCGTTGGCTTTTTTTTTGGAATTTATATTTAAGGTTTTTGAGGTCCGGGGATCGTTTTCTATAACTTTTTTTCTCGAAATTCGCAAAATAAAAAAAAAAAAACTTTTTTGACGTTGACAGCTGTCAATTTTTTTTTGACACAAATCGATAGTTAGCGTCGCAAAACTGCCTTGTACCGGGGTTTGATTTTCGTAGCTTTTATAGTAGAGCGGAGAAAAAGTCGAACATGTGTCAAATTTGACAGATGACATTTGTCGATATTGCCAAAGTGTCGTGCGACAAAAGTTTTATCCGAACGAACCCGTTCATTGTTAACTGATTTTTCATACTCCGGCCCTTCGGGCCGTAATCTTTGAAACAAAAAGACGTCATTTTGTATCGATTGTCAAAAAAACCCAAGGTTTGATATTTCAATTCTTTGACGTTTGTTGTATCATGAGCAGTGTTGCCATATGTTTTTCTTTCGAATCTCGAGCTCGAAGGGCCGAAATTATAGATTATTTTAAAGCCAATCAAGAGCCGGGAATAAACAAAATTCGAATTCCCAAACCAATCAGGAGCCAGGAAAATTCAAAAATTCCAATTCCAAACCCGAAGGGAAATTGAATTTTTTTGTACCAACTGTTGCTACATGTTGTTACATAAATCTCACCCTAAAACCCACTAAAAAATGACCTTTGTTTTTTGGAAAAAACAAAAGATTTTTTTTTTTGAGATTGACAGCTGTCAAAATTTCAATGGGCATATAGATTTAGCCTCGGCAAATACGTAGGAAGTACTAATTTTTTTTTTTTAACATATGTCAAAAAAGACGTTCGGCGTTGCCAGGTGGTTGGTTTTTGACATATGTATATCGATGAAACTTCTTATTTTAGGGTTTTCGGAGCCTGGGGATCGTTTTCTGACATTTGTGTTTTGAAAAAAAGAAAAGGTAAAAATTTTTGACATTGACAGTCAAAATTAAAAAAAAAAAAAAACCTACATAGGCATATAGATTTAGTCTCGGCGAATACGTAAAAAGTAGCCAAACGGGGCCAATTTTTTGACGTTTGTTGTATTATAAGCAGTGTTGCCATATGTTTTTTTTTTTCGAATTTCGATTCTGGAAGGCTGAAGTTATCTCAATTATGAGCTCAAAGGGCCGAGGTTATACGAGCCCGAAGGGCCGGAGTTATTTTAATCATGAGCCCGAAGGGCCGGAATTATACTGATTTTAATACTTCGGCTTTTCGGATCGTCATCTTTGAAACAAAAAGACGCCATTTTATATCGACTGTCAAAAAAAACCAAGGCCTACTTTGATATTTAATTTTTTTGACGTTTATTGTATAATGAGCAGCGTTGTCATATGTTTTTATCAAATCTCGATTTATAGGTTATTTTAAACCCAATCATTGAGATTTCTGAAAAATATTTCCTTTAAAATTCCCAAATATCCTTTGGAATCCCCAAAAATCTATTAAAATCTCAGAATTCCATGATTTAGTGGAATTTCGGTAGAATAATTATGTTATTCTGAATAAGGAATTAGATGTGAAATTTCCATAGAATTCACATTAAATTTTAATTCCTCTCGAATTACTTGAAATTTCAATGAAATTGCGATCGAATTACACGAAATCCTAAATGAATTACATGGAGGAATTTTAAACAATTACATGAAATTACACCGAAATTCCCAACATGAAATTTCAGTTTTTACTGATTTTTAGTAATGCCGAGGAATTTCCAACTAAAAACATGGAATTTCGATGATATTCCGAAAAATTCCACGTAATAACATGAAATTTCAATATATTTCGATGAATTTTTAAGAAATTACTTGAAACCTCATTAATATTCCCAGAAATTCCTGGCTATTAAAAGAGAATTTCAGTGAAATTCTTATGAAAATAAATTAAATTTTGAAAATTCCTTGAAGTTTCATTGGATTTTCGAGAAATTTTCGGTTATGAACGTGGATATTCTCATAAAATTTTAGTGAATTCCGAGAAATTTTTAAGAAATTACATGAAATTCCAAAGAATTTTATGAAAATTTTGTGGAATTTCAGTGGTAAAATTTTGAGGAATTTTAGTGAAGTTAAAAAAAAAAATATGGAATTTTGAAATTGAAATCTTAATGGAATTCCTTTATGAAATTCTATACTGTAATTAGCCTCCTCAATTTAAATAGTCACGAGCCGCCACTGGTGATAGCACAGAACTAAACAACTACAGGTCCATTTCCCTGCTCCCAGCTATGTCTAAGGTATTGGAAACCTGTGTAAATATGAGATTAACCAGTTATTTGGATGGAATAAATTTTTGGTCAATATGGATTCAGAGAGCACTGCAGTACCTCCTCAGCAACTACAGACCTAATTACAAATATTTATGAAAAAGTTGATAAGAGATATAAGTGTGGACTTAAGAAAAGCTTTTGACACAGTAAATCACAAAATTCTCATAGAGGTGCTTGAAAAAACTGGTATTGGAGGTTCAGCACTACTGTGGTTTAGGGACTATCTGTCGGGCAGACTACAGTATGTTGAATGTGAAGGTAACAGAAGTAAAATGGAAAACATTGTACACGGAATGCCTCAAGGCTCAATTCTGGGACCTACACTCTTCCTAGTCTACATTGAACTACTCACTGTCATACATACCTCTTCAGGGCTCTCTCAGTTTATATGCAGATGATATTTGCATCACTTATTTTGACAAGGACCCTGCTAACTTAAGACTTACAGAAAATAAGCGATTGGCTCTGTTACCATAAACTTAGTTTAAATGTGAAAAAATCAAGCTATATAGTAATATCAAAGTTTGAGTCCTGGCCTGACTTCACAATAAACTTTCAGGATCTCCCATTAACTCGTGCAGAGACTGCATCAAATACCTGGGACTCTTTGTCGATTCAAAACTTACTTGGAATATGCACATCTTGCATATATGTAAAAAAGTTACACGAGCAATTGGAGTATTTGGTCGAATATCGGACTATCTGTCCGTCACGAATCGTAAGATGATATACAATTCCCTCATCCATTCTCACATATTATATCTAACTCTTAACACGTTGATATGCATTTCACACATACGTTTGCATTTTGAAGTATCGTAGGTCGAGACTAGAATAAGGATATGGCTGTAAAAACTGTGCTCAGAATTTTCCTCTATTTCCTAATAATATAATTTAAAGTAATTCAGCTCGGTATTTTATTTAAAAACCAGCTAAACCCAACACCCTGAACAAACTGCACCCATTGTCAGTTCTCCAAAATCGTGCTATAAAAAAATTGTTTAGGCTGCCATTTCTATTTCCAACAAAAGACTTATATCAATCGTGCATCTTTATCCATTCTTGCAAGACTTCCAATATTCACTCTACAATAAGTCTCATCCCAGCCAACACAGTCCATCACTCAATGAAAACTTAAGAACGTCAGCAATGACCACTACAACTGGCCAACGCAGCATCTTATCAGAAGGACTAAAGTACTACAATCGAATTCCACAACCTGTTAAAAGATTGAACATAACTTGCTTCAAGTGTAAGCTGAAGCAGCATACTTTGGGACTGTACAATGAAAGACTTTATCTGCAATTTAGAGCTAAGATATTCATAAATGAAACAACTTTGTGATACAGTACCTACTTGTACTGGATATTTTCTCTTGTGTGATATTGTATAATGTATAAAATAATACGGTATATTGTAATAATGTTATATGTGATACTGAATGACCCTCTAGTTTAGGTTCATACATATATTGTTTAACTACCATGTTGAAATAAAGAAAAAAAAAAAAAAAAAAAAGTTTTGGCATAGTAGGCTAGTACACTAATACAAGATACTAGGCATCACAAATTCTTACCACTTGTTGCGCACTGCAGTCATAGGGCAAGCCGCGCATGCGGACTATGGCCGCCGGGCCTCTGCTGAGGAACGCCAGGGCTTCGCAGCTACTTCCACCAGCTACGGAAAGAAAATCTTCGCCTGTGGCTCGGTACATTTCGATGTATCTAGGGCCGATGTGGTGGCCTACCCAGACTCGATAGACAAAAGACTACTCCACCCCTGAAAACGAACAAGAAATTGTAGAGATTATGCCATGAATTGGAGTTTCCTTTGTTGTATGTTGTAAAGAGCTCAAAAAAAAAAAACTCTGGTTTGAATGACAAATTAATTTTCAATTTATAACTATTCATATGAGCACTCAGTTTCAATGGTCAAGAGGTCTATTTATAAACGCACTCAACTATATGATAATAATCATGTTATTGTATTGAAAGTTAAAAAAAAACACAACAAACGAGGACCAGAAGTGATTTATGGAGTGGAAAACTTAAGCGACCACAGCATGAAAATTTATTGCAAAGGATCAAATCAAGACTGAAATAGGTATTAGCAAAGAATATTATAGACTAACGTCTCTAGAAGACCTGTCCGCCGGCGGAAATATAAACCCGCGTGATGGCGCTGGTGTCCTAGTAAAATCAGTCGTTTCTGTGATTAAATTAATTTGAGACACCAAATGCAGGCTTATTTGCTAGGCTGCGTTGCCAAGTTGTCTTTTGTTTAACAAATTAAATGCCTGTGTTTTATATAGGTAGTTATTATACATAAATCTACCATAGAATAGGAATATTAGTATCAACTGTCAAATTGTGACAGTTGCAGATTTTGAACCAGTTCTTCACAACGGATTTTGCTGAAATTTAGCATAGGTACATCTGTTCAAGTTCTAGTGATAATACATTTTAGACCACCAATGACAGGTGTCAACTGTCAAATGTGACAAGTGCAGATTTTTGAACCATTATTTCGCAACGGATTTTGCTGAAATTTTGCATACATTTTATGTTCGGATGATAATACATTTTAAACCACAAATGACGTTTGAGAAAAAAAAATTTTTTTTTATAAGTTTGGATCTGTCAAAAAATGACATTTGAAAAAAAAAAAAAAAAATTATTATTATTGGACCTGTCAAAAAATGACGTTTGAAAAAAAATATATTTTTTTTTTATAAGTTTAGACCGGTCAAAAAATGACATTTGAAAAAAAAAATAAAAATTTCATATTATTGGACCTGTCAAAAAAAAATGACACTTGAAAAAAAAAAAATAATAATAATTTCATATTATTGAACCTGTCAAAAAAAAGACACTTGTAAAAAAAAAAAAAAATTTATAGGAGTCATTGAACCTGTCAAAAAAAAAATTCATTTGAAAAAAATTTTTTTTAATAGAATTGGACCTGTCAAAAAATGACGTTTGAAAAAAATCAAATTTTTTTGTATAATTTTGGACCTTTAAAAAAAATGACATTTGAAAAAAAAAAAAAAATCATATTATTGGACCTGTCAAAAAAAAATGACACTTGGAAAAAAAAAATTAAAATTTTATAGGTATCATTGGACCTGTTAAAAAAAAAATTACATTTGAAAAAAATATTTTTTTTTATAAGATTGGACCTGTCAAAAAATGACGTTTGAAAAAAAAAATATTTTTTTTTTTCATAAGTTTGGACCGATCAAAAGGTGACATTTGAAAAAAAAATAAAAATTTCATATTATTGGACCTGTCAAAAAAAAATGACACTTGAAAAAAAAATAATAATAATAATTTCATATTATTGAACCTGTCAAAAAAAAGACACTTGAAAAAAAAAAAAAATGTATAGGAGTCATTGAACCTGTAAAAAAAAAAAATCATTTAAAAAAAAAATTTTTTTTAATAGAATTGGACCTGTCAAAAAATGACGTTTGAAAAAAAACAATTTTATTTTTATAACTTTAGACCTTTAAAAAAAATGACATTTGAAAAAAAAATAAAAATTTTTTTATATTATTGGACCTGTCAAAAAAAAATGACATTTGAAAAAAAAAAAAAAAAATTTATAGGTGTCATTGGACCTGTAATTTGAAAAAAAAAACATTTTTTTATAGGATTGGACCTGTCAAAAAATGACGTTAAAAAAAAAAAATTATAACTTTGGACCTGTCAAAAAATGACGTTTAAAAAAAAAAAAAATTATAACTTTGGACCTTTAAAAAAAATGACTTGAAAAAAAAATAAAAAAAAATTCATATTATTGGACCTGTTAAAAAAAAATGACACTTGAAAAAAAAAAAATAATAATTTATAGGTGTCATTGGACCTGTAATTTGAAAAAAAAAAACATTTTTTTATAGGATTGGACCTGTCAAAAAATGACGTTAAAAAAAAAAAATATAACTTTGGACCTGTCAAAAAATGACGTTTAAAAAAAAAAAAAAATTATAACTTTGGACCTGTCAAAAAATGACATTTGAAAAAAAAAAAAAAAAAATTTATAGGTGTCATTGGACCTGTAATTTGAAAAAAAAAACATTTTTTTATAGGATTGGACCTGTCAAAAAATGACGTTAAAAAAAAAAAAATATAACTTTGGACCTGTCAAAAAATGACGTTTAAAAAAAAAAAAAAATTATAACTTTGGACCTGTCAAAAAATGACATTTGAAAAAAAAAAAAAAAAAATTTATAGGTGTCATTGGACCTGTAATTTGAAAAAAAAAAACATTTTTTTATAGGATTGGACCTGTCAAAAAATGACGTTTAAAAAAAAAAAAAAATTATAACTTTGGACCTTTAAAAAAAATGACATTTGAAAAAAATATAAAAAAAATTCATATTATTGGACCTGTCAAAAAAAAATGACACTTGAAAAAAAAAAAAAAAAAAATTTATAGGTGTCATTGGACCTGTAATTTGAAAAAAAAAAAAATTTTTATAGGATTGGACCTGTCAAAAAATGACGTTAAAAAAAAAATTATAACTTTGGACCTGTCAAAAAATGACATTTGAAAAAAAAAACTTTTTCATATTATTGGACCTGTCAAAAAAAAAAAATTTATAGGAGTCATTGAACCTGTCAAAAAAAAAATTCATTTGAAAAAATTTTTTTTTAATAGAATTGGACCTGTCAAAAAATGACGTTTGAAAAAAACAAATTTTTTTTTATAACTTTAGACCTTTAAAAAAAATGACATTTGAAAAAAAAATAAAAAAAATTTCATATTATTGGACCTGTCAAAAAAAAATGACATTTGAAAAAAAAATAAAAAAAAATTCATAATATTGGACTTGTCAAAAAAAAATGACACTTGAAAAAAAAAAAAATTTATAGGTGTCATTGGACCTGTAATTTGAAAAAAAAAAATTTTTTTATAGGATTGGACCTGTCAAAAAATGACGTTAAAAAAAAAATTATAACTTTGGACCTGTCAAAAAATGACATTTGAAAAAAAAAACTTTTTCATATTATTGGACCTGTCAAAAAAAAAAAAATGTATAGGAGTCATTGAACCTGTCAAAAAAAAAATTCATTTGAAAAAATTTTTTTTTAATAAAATTGGACCTGTCAAAAAATGACGTTTGAAAAAAAACAAATTTTTTTTTATAACTTTAGACCTTTAAAAAAAATGACATTTGAAAAAAAAATAAAAAAAATTTCATATTATTGGACCTGTCAAAAAAAAATGACATTTGAAAAAAAAAAAAAAAAAATTTATAGGTGTCATTGGACCTGTAATTTGAAAAAAAAAAAAAACATTTTTTTATAGGATTGGACCTGTCAAAAAATGACGTTTAAAAAAAAAAAAAAATTATAACTTTGGACCTTTAAAAAAAATGACATTTGAAAAAAAAATAAAAAAAATTTCATATTATTGGACCTGTCAAAAAAAAATGACATTTGAAAAAAAAAAAAAAAAATTTATAGGTGTCATTGGACCTGTAATTTGAAAAAAAAAAAAACATTTTTTTATAGGATTGGACCTGTCAAAAAATGACGTTTAAAAAAAAAAAAAAATTATAACTTTGGACCTGTCAAAAAATGACATTTGAAAAAAAAAAAAAAATTTTTTTCATATTATTGGACCTGTCAAAAAAAAATGACACTTGAAAAAAAAAAAAAAAAAATTTATAGGTGTCATTGGACCTGTAATTTGAAAAAAAAAAACATTTTTTTATAGGATTGGACCTGTCAAAAAATGACGTTTAAAAAAAAAAAAAAATTATAACTTTGGACCTTTAAAAAAAATGACATTTGAAAAAAAAATAAAAAAAAATTCATATTATTGGACCTGTCAAAAAAAAATGACATTTGAAAAAAAAAAAAAAAAATTTATAGGTGTCATTGGACCTGTAATTTGAAAAAAAAAAAAAACATTTTTTTATAGGATTGGACCTGTCAAAAAATGACGTTTAAAAAAAAAAAAATTATAACTTTGGACCTGTCAAAAAATGACATTTGAAAAAAAAAAAAAAAACTTTTTCATATTATTGGACCTGTCAAAAAAAAATGACACTTGAAAAAAAAAAAAAAAATTTATAGGTGTCATTGGACCTGTAATTTGAAAAAAAAAAAACATTTTTTTATAGGATTGGACCTGTCAAAAAATGACGTTTAAAAAAAAAAAAAAATTATAACTTTGGACCTGTCAAAAAATGACATTTGAAAAAAAAAAAAAAAACTTTTTCATATTATTGGACCTGTCAAAAAAAAATGACACTTGAAAAAAAAAAAAAAAAATTTATAGGTGTCATTGGACCTGTAATTTGAAAAAAAAATTTTTTTTTATAGGATTGGACTTGTCAAAAAATGACGTTAAAAAAAAAAATTATAACTTTGGACCTGTCAAAAAATGACATTTGAAAAAAAAAACTTTTTCATATTATTGAACCTGTCAAAAAAAAAATTGATTTGAAAAAAATTTTTTTTAATAGAATTGGACCTGTCAAAAAATGATGTTTGAAAAAAAAATAAAAAAAATTTCATATTATTGGACCTGTCAAAAAAAAATGACATTTGAAAAAAAAATAAAAAAAAATTCATAATATTGGACTTGTCAAAAAAAAATGACACTTGAAAAAAAAAAAAAAAAAAATTATAGGTGTCATTGGACCTGTAATTTGAAAAAAAAAACATTTTTTTATAGGATTGGACCTGTCAAAAAATGACGTTTAAAAAAAAAAAAAAATTATAACTTTGGACCTTTAAAAAAAATGACATTTGAAAAAAAAATAAAAAAAATTTCATATTATTGGACCTGTCAAAAAAAAATGACATTTGAAAAAAAAAAAAAAAAATTTATAGGTGTCATTGGACCTGTAATTTGAAAAAAAAAAAAACATTTTTTTATAGGATTGGACCTGTCAAAAAATGACGTTTAAAAAAAAAAAAAAATTATAACTTTGGACCTGTCAAAAAATGACATTTGAAAAAAAAAAAAAAAACTTTTTCATATTATTGGACCTGTCAAAAAAAAATGACACTTGAAAAAAAAAAAAAAAAATTTATAGGTGTCATTGGACCTGTAATTTGAAAAAAAAAAACATTTTTTTATAGGATTGGACCTGTCAAAAAATGACGTTTAAAAAAAAAAAAAAATTATAACTTTGGACCTGTCAAAAAATGACATTTGAAAAAAAAAAAAAAAACTTTTTCATATTATTGGACCTGTCAAAAAAAAATGACACTTGAAAAAAAAAAAAAAAAAATTTATAGGTGTCATTGGACCTGTAATTTGAAAAAAAAAAAACATTTTTTTATAGGATTGGACCTGTCAAAAAATGACGTTTAAAAAAAAAAAAAAATTATAACTTTGGACCTGTCAAAAAATGACATTTGAAAAAAAAAAAAAAAACTTTTTCATATTATTGGACCTGTCAAAAAAAAATGACACTTGAAAAAAAAAAAAAAAAATTTATAGGTGTCATTGGACCTGTAATTTGAAAAAAAAATTTTTTTTTATAGGATTGGACTTGTCAAAAAATGACGTTAAAAAAAAAAATTATAACTTTGGACCTGTCAAAAAATGACATTTGAAAAAAAAAACTTTTTCATATTATTGAACCTGTCAAAAAAAAAATTGATTTGAAAAAAATTTTTTTTAATAGAATTGGACCTGTCAAAAAATGATGTTTGAAAAAAAAATAAAAAAAATTTCATATTATTGGACCTGTCAAAAAAAAATGACATTTGAAAAAAAAATAAAAAAAAATTCATAATATTGGACTTGTCAAAAAAAAATGACACTTGAAAAAAAAAAAAAAAAAATTTATAGGTGTCATTGGACCTGTAATTTGAAAAAAAAAACATTTTTTTATAGGATTGGACCTGTCAAAAAATGACGTTTAAAAAAAAAAAAATTATAACTTTGGACCTGTCAAAAAATGACATTTGAAAAAAAAAAAAAAACTTTTACATATTATTGGACCTGTCAAAAAAAAATGACACAAAAAATTAAAATGTAAAAAGATGAATTTTCCTTGATTTTGCTTAAAAAAGTCAATTTTCTAGATTTTTTTCTGGAGTGATTTTCCATTGAAATTTTCCTATAATGATCTTCTCACTTTTTTTTTTCTTCTGAAAAATTTTCAAATTTTTTCCCATATAATAAATAGAATTCTATTAATTATGGTTACCGCATATTTTTGGAAAAAAGTAAGGGAATCTCAAAATTTTGGAAAGAATGAGGAAATTTGATCAATGGAAATTCCAAATTTTTTCGAAAAAAGTGAGGTTATTTCAAGAATTTTAAAAAAAGTGAGGAAATTCCAAACTTTTTGAAAAATGTGAGGAAACCGCATATTTTTCGAAAAAAAGAAATTTAAAAATTTTGAAAAAATTTAAAAAATTCCATTATGTAATTCTAAATTCCAGATTTTTTGACAAAAATGAGAGAATTGCAAATTTTCGGAGAATTTCAGGTGATTTTGCAAATATTTTAATTCAATGAAAAACGGCCGAGTTGAACGATTTATGAATTTTGGGCCAATTGCGAGGGATTTTTGGGTTTACGGAAAGATTTCGGAGTGATTTTGTGGATTTAGGTAAGATTTCGGGGATTTTGGACGAATTTGTGACATGATTTCGGGGAATGATTAACCCCTTGAAGATTTTATGAAATTTCTCGGAATTCCACTAAGATTTTAATTTCAAAATTCCATATTTTTTTTTTAACTTTACTGAAATTCTTCAAAATTTTATTACTGAAATATCTTGGAATTCCACAAAATTTTCATAAAATTCTTCGGAATTTCATTGACATTTCATGTAATTTCTTAAATATTTCTCGGAATTTACTAAAAATTTGTGAGAATATTTT